TCATTAAATAGATAAGTGAAAGTTCACTTACCTTCTAAATAGAGCTGCACTGAACTGCTTTCTTTCCTTCTTGTCGGTATCCGTCTCTATAATGAACTTCGATTCACTGCGCAACACAGCTATAAACATTTTTTTAGAAATTTTAATTCGTATGAAAGATATCTACAAAATATTTACAAGTTATAATGATTACAAGCATAATTTATACGGAGACGGTCTATCGTTATACATCTGTTAGACGCGTCAGCCGTTCAACTGATTACTTTTAGTCTCTTTCGCCAGAGGGCGTTCGTGGAAGTAAAGTTCTAGTAAGCAAACGCGACAGTTAGAATATTAGACTTTTTCTCATTGCCGGGTGAAACTTTTTCTTTTCCAATGGCAGATTGTGAACAGTTACAGTTTTGTGATAGAGTCCATTAATCTATACTAAGGCCAGATGTGGTGGTCTCTTTATTATGGAGACACCTAATAGGTGGGCCACCATTGCCTCCTATGGAGGGACGGACAGTTACATATCTCAGTCAGGCTCCCCTAAAGCAACTATACCGTCTGGGCGGCTGCCGGGTGAAACTTCACAAGTAATTTTTGATTCAATAATATTTTGTCAAGTACAAAATCATGTACAAAAGTCAAGTTTTATTCAAGTACTATTTTGAAAAAGAATAATTTTATTGTTGAAACTAACGCAAATTTTGATGGAAAAGCTAGAAGAGTCATCAATAACGTTTTTACGAAACTTAACGAACGTTTGAACCAAAACATTATTCGAGTAGGTTGTGCAGCGCACATTCTACACAATAATATTCAAACAGCATCTGACTTACTTCCAGTGGATGTTGAAAATATCATTGCAAAAATTTATGCGTATTTTCATTATTTTTATATATATACTGTGCTTGTCGAAAGTTTGAAGGATTTTTGTGAAAGCGGAGAAATTGAATATAAAGAATCATTGATTACAACAAAACACGATGACTAGCTCTTTTACCAACTGTAGAAACTATTTAAAAAATATGCGAACCATTAAAATCATACTTTTTATCACAAGATATATGTCCAAGAATATTGCAGCTATTTTTTTGAAAAATGACACATCCCAAATTTGTCAACCAAGCTACATTATTTCACAATGCTGTGAAAATTATTGAAGGGGACAAAATTTCCATTACGGAAGTGTCAAACGAAATTAATAACTGAAAAACAAAATTGCGAGAATTGAAAGGACATCACTAGGTTGGAAGAACAAAGTGCCCTATTAAACGACCCGATTTTCTGAAAGAAGTCAGAAATTTTTATGATAATTGCTTGGAATATCTTGAAGAACGGATAGTTCAAATCGAGGATATTAAAAACTTTCATTGCGTGACATTAAAAAAGGAGATTTTATGGGAATATGTGGAAAAGTCTTTTTAATATATTAGTAAGCATTTTGCGAAAAATAATATTTGCGAAAATGATCTTTTTGATGAGGTGTCATTGGTAAAAAGATACGTTACTGATAAAAAAATTAAATGTTGGTTGTCTGCAAATGTGGAAACAGACAAAAAATAGACTGAGTTATTCCTACATTTTAAACAAAATAATATTCCTTATGAAAATATTTTGAAAACTGTAGAACACACGCTCTCCCTTCCAGGAACAAATGTAGCAACAGAACGTATTTTTTCTAGTATGAATAAATATGGACAATTGAAAAAACGCAGTTGAACATTAAAACTTTAAAATCTGTATTAAGCCTAAAATATAATTTGACCAATTCATGTGAGAAATTTCACATTTTAATAAATGATACGAATCTATTGCAAAGTATTCACTCGGATAAAAAATATGAGCGTGAAAGAAAATCATAATTTTTTAAATAAAATATTAAATTAATTAAAAAACATAATGTTCGGATTATTGTTTTTTACAAATATTTTTCTAGTTACCAATAGTTAATAATAAATATATTTTTGTATATTTATAGAAAAATATATAAATGTATATAATAAAATATGCTTTTTGAATTATTGGTCTGCTTTCATAACTAAATTATAATTCTCATTTCATTCCACTTGTCTCGCTTTGTCTCAATGAAAATGTGGTCACTTTATCTTATGGTCATAACAGGCCACGCCAACGTTGTAAGGTGAGTGGTGAGTAAGTGAGCGCATCGCTATGCTGGCTTCCGACCACGAACATGAACCAAACGGAATTATATACCATCACAGCTGGGAAGACGCCAAAGTGATATTACATACTAATAACAGTTTCTACAGCTTGATAACTGCAGGTACTAAGCGTTGTTCTGATTATCTGCTTTAAATTCTGAACATAATATTATGCACGGTTGTTTCTGCTTACGCAATATATTGAGATGTTCTCTATTTTACCAGGGGCTACTCTGTTTTTGAGTGTGTTAGACGTCCACATTGCCCAGGTACAGTCCGCTGGTTTCTTTAAGTGCCAGGTTCTTGTATGTATATAATGAAAATAATAATGGTCCATGTCGCCTTTTTCTCCGCATTCGCCGAATCCTGAATCTGTTGGAAGATCTATGACCTGTCAAGATTCATGTTTGGCTAGCACGGTGGGTCTTTATTTCCATGTTCACGTTCGGAAGTAAGAGAAATTTCCTTCGTCCTACCTCAGCCTCTGTCTATCTACTTTGCCAATTTTGTAGCAAACTTGTCAGTGTAATGTGAGACTAAGGAAGTTTAGTCGGTTGTTTTAGTAAATCCGTTCAATTGGCTGCTTGCTTAGCCAGTAGGTCAGCAGCTTCATTGCCTTGAATCCCTGTATGAGCGGCAACTCATTTTAAATGGGTCTTTGTGAGACAGGCATTGCCAGAAGCTATTTTTGAATTCGGTATACCAAGGGACTCCGGCTGTTTGACCTGCGATAGTCTCCAGACTTGATGCCGAATCGCTGAGTACGGAGAATTTCTGCTGTTGACATGAGTTCACATACCAAATTGCAGCACTAATAGTTAGAAGCTCTGCTTGGAATACCGAGTTGTTCAAGACTAGTTTCCTCTTCCATTCAAATATTACAATGCCGATTTTCCAGTCTGCGGAAAGCGCTGTCCGTGCCGTCTCCGCTTTAGAGCCACTTGTAAAAATATTATTGTCGCTTTGAATTGGCTCGTCGTTTATGCTGACATCGTCGGAGAGATTAAAAGCAGCTGGATGAAAGTTATTGCAGATGGTTTGCTCCTCATAGTCAGTCCTATTGGTGTTAACTATGACCCCAGAGTGTTGAAGTTTGATGAATAATCAAATGTCCAGAGGAACGAGGGGGCGAGACACATAACTCACGCTAGCAGATGCTAATACATATCCCTACATATTCCAGCTGGCAAAATATTCGCACCAAGCAAATACTGATTTCTACATGCTATTTTTCAGCTGTTCTTTAAATAGGACAGTGGGATAAAATGGGTTAAATCCAGTGTCATGTACAGTGGTGATATAACAACACATTTCTGGAAATGTGCTACTTCTACCTGGCACTTGTGAATATCTGTCCACTGTCCACCTTCTAGTAGTGTGCCTTGAAGTTTGCTTCTAAGAATATAGAGAAGAAGCAAGGTTTGTGAAAGCACTCTGAAGTCTCATCAGAAATGCCATCAGTTCAAAATCTCTAGACACTTTTAATTGTATGCAAGATCCCTAATGGATATATCAGAGCAGGACTGTGGATTCCTTTTAATATGTATCTTTTTAATTTATCTGGTATCTTCTTTCTTACGGCAGCTGCCTCCCTTTCAACTATCAAACCTAGGGAAGGAATTCCTGCCAGTTGCTGTAGGGCTAGTGTTGACGTGGTGCGGTAGGCTCTGCATATTTGAAGTAGCTGCTGTTTCTGAATACAGAGTAGGGATCTTCTCATGTGAGAGGTACGTTCACCACCCCAGATTGCCGCTATGTAAGTGATGATTCTTTCTGTAATGATTCTATGCCAAATTTTTAGTAGCTTAGATGAGATATTCCATTTATGTGAAGTCATGCGTCTCATGCTGTTGCTTAAGATGCTCATTCGCGTCTTAATCATACACTCTTACTTAAACTTAACACATGAAACATTCTTAAGCTAAGCATTTGGAGTAAGCAAATTAATTTAAGAATGAATCACCAAGAAATTAAGAAGTAGTATATAAAGCCTGTCCTGCGGAGATCTGCATACTTATGTAATAAATAATATGTACAAATGTTATGTAACATTTTACATAAGATTTACACATATAATATTATGTAATTTGTTTCATACGATTTGTATACTTATGTAACAAGTCTTAATTATGCAATAGATAGATATGCATTTATTTCGTTCGCTCGTTTGTGCACAAAGCTTGAAAAAAATATTTCTCCCAGATGGAAATAATTTCTCTTTTGCGGGGATGGGAAACCCGCAAACTGAAAATAAATGTCGCATCCCATACAAGAGGTTTTCTTTGAGTTGTTTAATAAAAGAGGTATGTCAAATGCTGTATTTAAAAGGTATTTATTCTATTTTATCATTTACTAAAGAATATATGCAATTTAAGTTTTTAAAAAATTAATTTTTACGCCTGGCATTAGTAATACATATAATTCGCGAACCCCTTCTTTCATTTAAGGTAATATTAAATAGTTATAATTCACTATGTGTAATCTATTTAATGCAAAATGTATGACAAAGAGATTATACGTTATGCAAACAAACAGCATACAGTTAATTATCAATATTTATATATATTTATTATAAAGACTCCTTGACTTCTTTTTGATTTTCTTATTTTCTTTTTCTAGGGTTTCTTTCTTTTTAGTAATGCATTATCTGGTATAAAAAATGTGCTAATTGTGTTTTGATTCAGAGTACTATTTTAAAATGGGTCTATTGATTGCAACATTTTAAAAGATCGCATTTGTCATTTAAATTCTTTCTTTCGTATTTTTTCGTATAAGGAACAAAGCATGAGAACAAGGTATTAGCATGTCGTGGAAACTAAGTATGCTATTAAATCACACTGTAAAAATATGGATACTATAGCATATTCTTTTATTATATTAAATATCAATTAATTTTAAATAAAAATAAATTATAAAAATATAATATTTATTATAAATAGTATAAGTTATTCCTATGTACACGCTTTGTCAAGAACAGAAACAGTATTTTTTAAGAACAGCGTCATTTATGCAAGATGACTGGCTGCCGTATAAATTTAAACGAGATATAGTTCCTAGTAATTCACATTGCTGATGAGGAGGTGACATTTTCACAGTTCCTTCAAACACAGCATTACCTGGTTTTGTATGTATGACCACAGTGAAAATATTATCTTCAGCCGAATGCCCCTCATGTTCAGATGGTGGCTGCCAGAGACGAGCATCGGATATTGATTCCAGTTTCAAAACCGCACATTTCTTTTTAACTGCTCTGAGCAAATTATTAAGATGGGAGACTAGATATTTCGCAGCTTTTTTAACATTACGATTGTCCGTATCCACAGGAAGCGAAGCTTCACATGTGCACCAGTGTTCCTCAATAAATGCGTCATCACATGATCTATCTAGTGGTACAGGTTGGAACAACGATTTGGAGCGCATTGTGAAGTTGACTGCTAACTCTTCACTGACTTTGTCAGGATTCACTAGGGTCCATTTTTCCTGAAGATGAAGTATATGAACCAAAGTAGCATGTAGATCAAAAGGTGTCACAAGTCTATGAGAATTTATGTTTAGCACCCGGGTTTCTGCTGGGTATTCGCGCTTGAAATCCTGTGGTAAAGCTATCAGTAACATAGGCAGTCTTTCCTCTAATCTGCCAATATAAGTTTTCCTGATCTCACCCCATCTCATTCCATGATCTCCCATGACTATGACAATGGTTCTGTTTAAAGAACCAGATTCGTAAAGAGAACGGAAGAAGCGTTCATACATATGATCTCCAGAAGATCCCATGTTTAAAAAGTCGTGTGTTAAGCTATTAATCCAAGAAAAAGCAAAATAAGAACGATCTCGAAAATGAGAGGCGAATTGCTCTGTCCAATGCAGCACCGCTTCAGTTTCGGATACAGAACCCACACACAAATGGCAGTTGAGTGGCTTTATACGGCCTAATGCATCTTCATAAGCTAAGATGAAAGGCCGAAAGTAATAATCTGTTGGTTGATGGTAAAAACCTCTTTTTACGTAATTAAAGGAAGAAATATAGGGAGCATCTTCTGCATAAAATGTTCTGTACCCTCGTTTCGCAAAACGTTTCCACAAGAAGTTACATTTATCCAAAGGCTCTTTTTTAGAAGACTCCCAGCAAACTTGAGATAATTCTCTTTCATCGTAACCTAAAAGAAGCGGAACAAGATTTGGAAATGTGTTATCTCCAACTTTGTTGAATCCAAACATTTCAGTTGCTCCCATGTTGTTCAGCAAGTAATGGTATGTTTTATTTAACTGACGATGCATATTCAATCTCGAAACAGCGTCAATTCCGATAATAAGCACACTGTAACGTGACTCTTTACTTTTTCTGCAACGCGTCTCTACATTTTGCTTATCGTGAACGAAGCTATGAAATTCTTGATAGAATTCAGTTTCATTATGGTATCTGCAAGTGACTTTTATGAATTCTTCTCCTATTTCTGCTTTTTCTTTGAATGGGGTACATTTCTCACTAAAACTGCAAAGAAAAGAGAGATTTGTATTAAATTACAAAAACTGCGTTACAAAAATATGTACAGTACTTTGCTATATTTATAGAATACTTGCATCTTTTCTACTGTAAAAAATAAATAGCATCAAAAGTTTCAGTATTGTAATATCGGATTAATACAAGGTAATTTAAAGACACCAAACTGTTTTAAATGATTACAGCAAACAATTTGCTTGGAGTAACCTACGATACATCAAACTTTGACTATCCAAGTTTAGTGCTGCACATTACAAATGCACTACGCGAGATCTTTTTGTCACACAACACTTACCTATTTGCAGTCCATTTGTGACACGACTGGAAAATTCAAAATGTCAAAAACTATCTCTCATGGAGCATATGTAATGTGTTGCAAGAAACTTGGATAAACAAAATTTATATGGTGCATATCACAGGTATCATTGGTTCTTACATACACTGCAGATTACATTGCCTGCTATAATTATTTGTAACACAACGGCTCGTTTAGGTTTACCTCGTAATACACGCAAATTTATCTCAACCTTAAATATTGTTTTAGGTTTCTTCCGAGTGCCAGAAATATCAGTATCCATTGTACATTTAAGTAACGGAATTTAAGTTAACGGAATCTAAGGTAACTAATACAGATGCTACATTGACTAGCATTTGTATTAGTTATCTTAAATTCCATTAGCAAAAACCAAACATAAAGTTTGCATTTTTAATAGAAACAGATAAATATAATATAAAATTTTATAAATAGCTTAACTTTAGAAATGCAGTATTGCAAATAATGTAATTTGAAATGTTATTTATCTCACATACTTCTTCATAGTGAAGTAAAAGCAGTATTTTCTGCAGCTCTTGATTCTACATGCGTAGCTTTTCTTTCTCAGAGGCTTTACTTAAAACTGGGAATATATATTGAAATCCTTTTTCTGAGATATACTTTTAATGTTTAGAAACTGTATTATTGCTACTACTATTTATATTAGATACTATAATTTTCCTTTTAACGAGGTAATTTTGTAAGGAATAAAATGCATTAAAAATATATGGCAAAATGTAGACGAACTCAAACGCAATTTCTAAAAATAATATTCTAAATACTGCTTCAAAGTATGTTATTTGAAATCCCAAATAAGCATAGATGACAGAAACAGTGTTTCAGCAGTTGAAACATAAATTTAATCCTCATAAATTACAATATAGAGTACCGTAAGTCAAATATGTAAGACAAATTATTTCTGAGTGCTGTGTAAAAGCCGATCCTAGTCATATTAAAGCAATTATTAACATGCCAACACCAAAATCAAAAGCTGAAAAAGGTTGTTATTCTTTTTTTTATTTGAACGTGCTCCGCCCTTAAGGAGGTTGTTAGGAATGTTAAATTTTCTGTCAAAAATTCATACCTAATGTATCTAAAGGTACTGCTCCTTTAAGAGAAATCATTCAAGAAAAGGTAGAATTTAATTGGGGAGAGACTCAGGAAGAGTCATTTAGCAACATCAAACAACTGCTAACCAAAGCTCCAATTTTAAAAGTTTTCAGTGGTAATGAGGATATAATTATACAATGTGATAGTTCGAAGGATGGCCTAGGATCGTGTCTAATTCAAAAGGGAAAGCCTGTATCATTTGCGTCTCGCAGCCTGACTAACAGCGAAAAAAAAACTATGCACAGATCGAAAAAGAGCTGTTGGCCATAGTATTTTCTTTTGATAAGTACCACAATTTTGTTTATGGACGAAAAGTCACAGTACAGAGTGATCATATACCTTTAATGGCAATATTTAAGAAAGCATTGCATAAAATCTCTTCTAGAATGCAAAGGATGATCTTAAAATTACTAAAGTATGATTTTGAGATAAATTATGTTCCAGGAAATCAAATGCTTCTTGCTGACACTTTGTCACGTGCATATCCTGTGAATGAAACTATTAGTGATGATCCTGAAATGTTAAATGTTGTTCACATTATTTCAAAATATTTGCCTATGAGTGAAAGAAGAGTGGTGCAATTTAGGAAAGAAACTGAATCAGATCCAGATTTGCAAATAGTTATGAAATATATTTAAGAGGGTTGGCCTAAATGTTACAAAAAAGTAGACAGCAGTGTAAAAACATACTTTAAAGTTAAAAATGATCTTTATATTAATGACTATTTGTTATTTATTAATGAAAAATTATGGTTTGAGAAAATATATGTTGCAGTTAATTCATGAAGCGCATTTTGGAATAGAGAAATGTAAAAGTAGAGGCCGTGAAATATAGTGGTTAATTACATTTATTCAATTACAGTACCTAATACTAATACGGTGATACAGGGACAGTACCAAAATGTCGCTAAATGGTCTCCAAGTTTGGCGATTTTAGGCGATTTCCCAACATATCGTTATCAGCTTGGCGAAATCTTGTGAGAAATTATCCGTACACCCATTAACTCAATGTAAAATGCACTTGCCTCTGTATTCTTACGTTTCCGGCATAGTTTGTCTTATTTAGATTTTTCATGTTACATTATAAAGCAAAATTCAACAATTTCACAAAATGATTTCATTAGAATCATCTACCCTATGTACAAAATTCGTAACAATACGTTACTACAAAAAAATTGATGATGATTCGGTTCTTCTCTCCATGTACAATTACTTCAGCTATAATTTACTTTCTCTAAAATACTTTTTAATGACTAAATTAATTGCATCAAATAATACATTCCAATATAATTACGCTTTAGTTACTGAAACCTCGCTCATAACATATCCTGGATTATTAAAAAGTAATTGTATCACTTGATGATTACTCCAGGTTTACTATACATTATTTGGTTTATTTCAGCAAACTTTCTTCAAGCTAAATCTCAACATTTTCGAGCAAAATTCTTGTAATAGGAAATGCACTGCGATACTAGCCGAATGCTGCTGCTTTACCTACAAATAAGCCCATTAGCTGCAGACGTATCTCCATAAATAATATAACACATAATTTTCTAACTAAAAGCTGACATTTCTCAATATCTGAAAACTTGATATTTAGTAGCGATTAATATTTAATAGTAATATTAATATTTAGTAGTAATAATTTAATATTTAGTAGTAATATTCAGTAGTGATCGGTCTTTATGCACGTTTAAACATGTATCTTTTACTGCGAAGTCTACGTTCAGTGATGAATATTACTTCCAATTTCGAAGATAATATTTCTTTTGTGCTATGTACAATAAAATCTTCTTTTGGTAAAATGCTGTAAATCACACTATAATTTTATAAAGAATTAGGTCTCATGGAACAGAGTTTCAGAAGAACAAGTTTACAGCACGAGTGATTAAGTACTAGTGCAGCAAAAAAATATGGATTTTGGAGCAAAAAGTTAGTTTACTAAGATAAAGGTATTCGTATAAACACGCTACTCGTGCTAAATGCTATTTGTAGTGAAACAAGCGAAAATAAGCATAAAGCTACAGTATACTGCGTTCTGTGTTAGTTATTGTATAAAACACTCAAAAAAAAAAAAAAAAAAATGGTACAGCTCCATATCTCCTGTTCCTACTGGGCCGATTGACGAAATTCAACTTGCGTTTTTCATGTCACGAAAGCGCGACTTAGGATATATATTAGATTTATATATAAAATTGTTCTAATATAGGTATTTTGGCACAAAATAGAACTTTCTTTTTGAAATGCGAATAATTTTTATAATTTTTTCGAAGAAATATTGAATTATAACTTATAAAAGTTTTGCCTTCATCTTAAAGTAGATATATTTTTAAGCATACTTGCAAAAAATTAGAGTTTTTAATTCAAAATTTCCTAAGATGTACGTGAATTTACATTTTTGGTGCGTTTTGAAATTTGGCGTATTTATTATAAGCGATAATAACGAAAATGTGGTTTACGCACTTTGTTAAAATTACTTGAAAGTATGAATGATGACTTTTTTTTTCCGCTCGTGGACCATGAAGAAAAAGTAAAGGAAAATAGGTTGCTATAAATTTAGAAGTTCGCCAAACGAATTATTCTTGGCGCAAACTGGAAAAAGTTCGGCAAGATAAATTTTTAAATTTCTCCATAAAGTTTTCACCAAAAATTATATAATTTAATATCTAGGCATAATTTGAGTCGTAGAATCGAAATATGGAAAAAAAAATTGATATGTTGTTTCAGAAAAAGTCCGATGTTGTGTTAAAACACTTATGTTAGAACTACATATAAATCTAATATGTATCCTAAGTCGCACTTTCGAGACACGGAAAACGCAATTTGAATTTCATCAATCGGCCTAGTAGAACGGGAGATATAGAGCTGTCCTTTTCTTTCTTTCTTTTTCCTCCCCCCCCCGCAGTGTACATATTCTTTGTGTTTACTGCCAAAGCTTTCTATTCACAATGGGGTGAGGGCAGCGAGTATCGGGCTGAATATCTAATCGTGAACGGTTCATCAGTCCATTTAAATGAGGAATGCAATAAAACATGATTATACGCGGTTTTTAGTTATTTTTTATTGTGTTCAGAGCAGTAGTTTGAATTTTAAATTAAAGAGATTTTTCTATTTAAAAAACGACTAGTTATATTGGAATAGTTGATAGAACGTAGAGAAAAGTTATGACATCTAAAAATAAGTTAAAATTATTGAGATGCAATGTAGACGTTTCTAATCGTTCCAGTATTCAATTATGAATTTGACTATAATGCTATATATCATGCGAGTTTCATGAGGATACTTTCATCAATGTATACACTGTCGAGACAGATTTTCTTTCTGCCATATAAGCGACGTCATCATTTTAAGTACAGTGGCAAAACCACTGTAAATTCTTAGTTTTGTGGATAGGTTGAAGTGAAGTTTTCCTTAGTTTGTGAAGAGGATGGCTTCCTCTGGAATGATCTAAGAAGAAGGATTTCTTCTTGCTGCATGACAATGCATCCGCTGAAACGGCTTCAGTTCTGGTGCAGTTTCTAACGGAAAAAAGCATGTGCCTTTTCTCAACCATCCTCCATATTCCCCCGATCTAGCGCCGAGTGATTTTTTTTTATTC